AAACGTCTCCCAGATGAGAAAGTGAACCGCTTCCCTCCTTCACTCTCACCCAGAGCTGTCACTTTTGCCACCCCCAGTTCTTCTCTGAAGAATAGAACCCCATACTCAGACTCCCTTCATAGCCAGGCAAAGGGTAAGCCCGGGTGCTCTCTGCCTCCACCTCCCGATCTGGGCAGCACACAGGGTCTCCCAGGCCTCAGAGAACACCCAGTGCTACCAGGTTGAGGAGCTGCTGCTCTTCTGGGGCTCCGACAGCAGGACCACCCCTGGGTGAGCGAGCAGGCCCGTCCTGGTGCCTGGGGGCTGGCGAGGCCCTGGGGACGTCAGGCCATATCTGTGGCACCGGGGCTCCGAGGACACTTTCCAAACACTGGGTTGACTCTTTGCGGGGCTCCTGCCAGAGGTACAGCCTCCTTCCCGGTGGCTGATCTCAGAGCAGGAGCCGGGGTGCAGAGGAACAGGGGCTGCTGTCATGGGGCTGGGTCTTGCCTCCCCAGAGCTGCTGCTTCTGAATTACCCAAACTGCTCCCAATTCCAGAGGCCTGGCTCCGAATGCTCCCGGAGTCCCTGGGTTTGAGGTTTAAGTGCCTTTTGGAGTTGAAGCTGGTCCAAGGCCCACCCCCAACCTCACAGACCCCTGTGCCAGACACCCCAGCTGAAAAGAGATTGCCAGGGTGCACTGGCAGCCCAGAGGGCTTTCCCAGGGGTGATCAGCAGAATCGAAATCATCCCAAAAAGCAAATTCTGCATCCTTTAAAACAACACGGACAGAGCACCTGGTATGTGCTCAGCACCTACAGTCTAGGTGGAAATACTCCGAGAAGAGCGAACACAAGACACAGCCCTTACGAAGCGCTTTACAGATATTCTCTTGTTTAATCCCCTGACGGCGTGCAGTAGGCACTGCTCTTGTCCCTGTTTTACAGATGAGGAAACTGAGGCTGAGATGGGTGAAGGGACCTGTCCAAAGTCACCCAGCCAGATTCTGAACACAGGCAGCTTGGTCCTGGAGCCCGCATTAACCGCCACACTCTACAGTTCTCCAAGACCATCGTTACAAAGCAGCGTGCACTGAAAAAAATGGGACAGCCACCTCGGAAAAGTCTGGCAATTCCTCAAAATGTTACACACAGAGTTACCACATGACCCAGCGATTCCCCTCCTAGGGACATACTCCAGGGAAATGAAACGTAGCTCCACACAAAAACTAATACATGAATGTTCACCGCAGCCTAGTCACAGACATCAAAAAGTGGGTAAAAGATAAATGCCTATCAGCTGATGAATGGATAGACGAATGGTGGTCGGTCCACATAATGGAATGTTATTCCGCAATAAAAAGGCATAAAGTACTGATTCAGGCTGCCACATGGATGAACTTTGAAAACATCACCATGAATTAAAGAAGCCAGTCACATGTTGTAAGATTCCACTTAAACGAAATGTCCAGAAGAGGCAAACCCATAGAGACAGAAAGTGGATATGAGCAGTTGCCAGAGGTTGGGGGAGGGAAGTGATAGCTAAGAGATGTGGGGTTTCTTGGGCAGGATGATGGAAACACTCTAAACTTGGTGATGGTTACACAAGTCTGTGAATATAAAAAATACCATTGAACTGACACTTTAAATGGATAAATTATATGCTATGTGAATTATGTCTCTATTGAGTTGTTAAAAAATAAAAGCATGAAACCAGAGGCGTGTAAGCCCAGGTACCCGGGGAGCCAGAGCACGGGGCTCCCTTCTGCCTGCGGGAGGGGCAGCCTGGGCACCAGGGTCACCACAGCTGGCAGGCTGCTGGCTTTCTGCTTCTGCACACCCAGGCCTGTCCCCGACCTCCTGTGTCACACACGAGACTTAGGAGCAGCAGAGCCCTGGCCATTCTCTGCCGTGTGGGAGGAGACTCAGGCCCAGGCCGCCTCACCTGGGGCAGGTACGTCCTCCTTCGCACTGTGCTGCCACGACTCCAAAGTGCTCGGTTCCAGAAACCCTTCCTAACTCCACCAATGGAAGGAGCCCTTTGCCCCTGTGCCCGGACCCCACAGAGACCCCGGATCAGAGGGCTCCACTGGCCAGGTGCATAGCCACTGTCCCAAGGCAGCCTTTGCCACCCCCGAGGGATTTGTCTGCTTATGTTAGGAAAGGAACAGTGATTTACTGAGCACCTACTAAGTGCCAGGCACTTCTCATTGGCTCTCCCTGGTCACAGCCTTTTCAAATCTAGGCCATCTTTGCAAGATGCTTTAATGGTTCCAGAAAACATGCCATGACCTCAGATGTCCCCTTGTGAGGGGAGTAAAGCGTGTGTCACGGGGACAGGGCTGGCCCCAGGGCGATCTGTGACGCTGGAGGAGTCCCCCTGCAGAGATGCCAGCTCCCCACTGCCACCTCGTCTCATCCTTGCCAACCTGGCCTGCTTCTTGGATCCACTGAGTAAGCTCACTCACACTGAAGCACCAGGGAGGGACTGCGACATACTTCCCAAGGGAACTTATAACTTAAATGAGAACTGGAGAGAAGACGTGGCCGATGATGGAGGGAGGAGGGCGGCATGCTTCTTCCAAGCACAGCCCTGCTTCACTTTTACCTCCAGCACACAGCACAGCTCAGGCACACAGAAGATGCTTAATATGTATAAGTCAAATGATCGCCTGGCTTAAGGCAGCTCCTCCCACCCGGGAACCCGCTTCCTGGAAAGCGTGCTGGGGGGACAAGTCAACAGACTCCCTTTTCTCAGGGAAACTGATGCCAGGAGAGGAGATGTGAATCCTGAAACCCACAGCCTGAGCACAGCACCCAACCCCGGCTGTCCTGGAGAATGGTCCCCACCTGAGAACTGCCACAGGTCCCAAACCCTGGCGCTGCCCCCTAGGGCAGGTGGGGACTAAATGGCTGTGCCCTGCAGGAAGCCCATCCAGGGTTATTTTTGCTGTCCGCCCACCTCTTCCAGCCTCCAAAGAAGACTCCAACAAAAGGACACGGGCTGGCTGGACACCAGGCAACTGAGACTCAAGCCTCCCTTCCGTGGTCTGGCCTGGATCTCCCACCTTTGGGCATCACTTACTTATCAGCTGGGTCCTGTGATCACCAGCGGTTTCCAGGGCACTAACCAGACTCACGGGCATGCGAACTGCTTCCGGACACAGCCCATAAATCACTCCGTGGAAACAATTCCAAGTTGGCCTCAATAGCCCCTCTCTTGTGATGGGGACAGGTCGAGTTAAAAGGCTAAGAGAAAAATCAAACTGGATTTCCCCCGCCTTTGGCCTATAAATTCGACAGAGCAAAAGCAAAATCTCTCCTTACTTTCCTGGGGCAACCCATGCACAGAGCAATCTGAGGATGACATCCAGACCTTTCCAAGCCGAGCTGGAACTTCACATGCCCCGTTTTGTATCCCAAGGGCCACCAGTGACCCCAAAGCCAGTCAACAGATCAGACTTACAGAGTAAGAAAGGTTGCCAGCCCATCGCCCTGCATAAAGAAGCCACAGGCAGTCCCGGCGGTGAGAGACTGCCTCTCAGGCGGTGTGATCAGGTCTGTGGTCCTCGGGGGTTAGGGTTAGGGCAGTGAGACCCTGGCCCCCACCGACTGTCCTGGCTCCCTTCATTATAAGAGATGAACACTGGGTTTAAACAGACCACCTGGGTGTACAGAAGCACTGGCTTGTGTTCACCGGGGAACTGCTGGCTGCGGCAGCTGTTGGGTGCCCGTCCTTGGACAGAGATTCCAAGCATGGACAGCTCCTGCCCGTGCCTCAGACACGGGCCCGATCACCCACCATCACAGGGGTGGCCTTAGTTCTCTTGTCCATCTCCCCTGAATTCTTAGCCCTCAAGAGCAAGCAGGTCTTGTCTCTGGGCTGGCACTTAGTAGAAGCTCAATAAAATCTTTAAAAACACGCACAGAGCATTGCCTCTGAACTCAGACACAGCCATCAAGACCTCTGCCCAACTGAGGTTAAAACGCCGGCCCGGAGAGAGCCGTTAAAGGCCAGAGCACGCAGCAGCAGCATCTTGCAAGGCCCCGGGCCCTTCTGGCCAGAGGAGCCTGCAAGGACACCACACTCAGCGGCAGTCAAGGGCCAGCCCTTCCCCTCTCGGGACCTCAAGCTCTGTGGGTCCCCTCCCAGAGCTGCCCATCGGTTCAGCTACAAAAACTTTGGACTTGGAGTCAGAAGCCCAAGTCTTGGCTCTGCTGCAAAGCAGCTTGCTGTATGACTTTGAATAAGTAACTTCCTTTATTGGGCCTCAATTTCCCCGTAGGTTAAGTAAAAAGGTTGGACTAGATGATCTCTTGGGTCCTTAAACCTGCTGTTTAAAAGTCTGGACTCACCCGGGATCGCCCAGTTCCTTGGCATCCCTTCCAGCTCTACCTTTAAAACATACCTGGAGTGCAGCTCTCACCTCCACCGCCGCCCCCCTGGTCCAGCGCCTGCCACCTCACGCCAGAGCATCCGTCTCCCTAGTGGTCTCCCCGCTCCCTCCCTTCATCCCACCTGGTCTGTTCCCAACACAGTATCCAGAAACCATCCTTTTAAAAGTCAGATGGCCCTTCTCTGATCAAACTCTAGAGCAGCACCCCATCTCAGAGTCAAGGTGAAATCCCACCAGGAGCATACAGCCCTGCTGGACGCAGGCTCCCCTGTTCCTCCAGCTCCCCTGCTGCCCCTCCCCTCACTCGCTCTCGCAGGTTTCTGGAACATCCCGGACATGCTCCTGTCTCAGGGCCTTTGCACAGGCTATCTCCTCTGCCTGATACAACATCCCAGCTCTCTCCCCTGCTTCCTTCAGGCCTTTGCTTAAGTGCCCCTGACTTGAGAGGCCTTCTCTTCCCTGTTTATTAGCTTTGATCACCATCTGACGCACTTACATATTGTACCACATATTCGCATACTGTATGTCCACCCCCGCTAGACTATAAGCCCAGGAGGGCCAGAGTTTTCAATATTTTAGCCTTCCTTTATACCCACTCCCAGAATAGCAGGTACTCACTACATACATGTTGAATAAATACATTTTGCTCATGTGTGGGTTCGGTCCATCTCAGGCCATACCACCCTCCAGCTTGAATGATGTCATCCCTCAAGTCTCTCTGAGAATCCCAAGCTCTGGACACCGTCTCCAGGAATCAAAGTGATTGTTCTAGGCAGGTTCGTGGCTCAGGAAGCATGCGGAGGAACAAAGCAAGGAAATGACACAGACCTGGTCTGGTCCCCGGGAGCTCTGAGGGTCAGTTCATAAACAGACACTTCCAGGTACCTCCTTGCCGGGCAAGATGAAGGTATAAACACGGGCGGTTAGGACACTGGACACCCACCGTGGGGAAAGCACAGGAAAGAAAACTCAAGCAGGGGCTCTTCATTAGAACCAAGGAAAGGCAGAGATGGGGGAAGAGGGAGCAGAAGGCAGACGGAGCAGAGCTGCAGTGCCGCGAGCCTGCAGACAGAGCTCCAGACGAGCCCCCAGCCCGGACCACCGGGCTGAGACAGAGCCAACCCCTGGCCTCGCAGAGGCTAAGCCAGCCGCTCCCCTGCCCTTCTGACCCCAGAGAGCGCCAGCTGAAAGCACCGGGGCCCGGCTCTTGGAAAGGTGCCTGTGTGAACGCCCACAAGTGTCCAGGAGCAGAGACCAGAAACAAAGGCAGAGAAACGCAGCTCCTGCCACCCGGATGAAGATGAAATACGCTCTCGGGAAGACGTGCGTCACCGAGGCCAAGAGGGCAAAGCCAGGGAGTGGGTTCCTGGGGCTCTTGAGAAGAGAGAGATCTGGGAGATGGATGGGCCAGACGTCAGCAGGGCACGGCTCACCGGCGGGGAGGGAGGGCCGGAGAGCGTAGAGAGAAGGTGGGGCTCCAGCAATCTCTGGTGGAAGCCCCTCACGTTCTACCCCAAGTCCTGGGCAGGGCTGGCCGGTGCCAAGGCACCATATCAGAAGATGGAAGTATGGATGGGAGAGGTCAGGGGGGACGATGGGGACGTCAGATCCCGCCCAGCTGCCACCCATGCGCTGTGGGGGGACAGCGGAGGATCACAGGACAAGCCCCGGTCTTTGCTTCTATGCCCTCCCTCCTGGCCATGTACTCCCGCCCCTCTGGCGTGGGCATCACCTCCCTCGCTGGCTGTAGCCTCTAACCCATCCCAGAGCTAAACCCCCAGGGAATGGCCAGCCATCCCTCCCATGTGGAGCTGGGGTGCCTGAGAGGAGGGTGAAGCTTCCACAGGTGAAAGAAAAAAGCCCCACTGCCCAGCCTCCATCCAGGGGCCCAAGTAGAGGCAGGGAGGCCAGCACGGTGGCAGTGACAGTGTGTCCACTGCTGCCGTGGCCTGAGGTCCTGCCCTCATCATGGGCTCTCTTCCCTCCCAGGAGACAGTGACCTTGCTTAGGTCTCCACAGTGACAATGGCAGGAAGTGCCCCTCCCCACCAGCCGAGCCGGGGAGTTAGGAAGGAAGTGACCAACTCTGAGCCTGGGCCCTGGGACCCTCCCCACCGAGCCCCGACCCCAAGAACACCTGAGTTAACGGCACAGGCGAGAAGCTCTGCTCACCTGCTCAGAATGGCCAATGTCTGCAGCTTTGTGGTGGCGGGAGGGCTGAGGGAAGATGCTCTCCCAGCTGGGACCCCCTCTTTGATGCAGACCCTCTGCGGATGCCTGGCTCCTGCATCAGGTCGAGCGGAGGCAGAAGACAGCCGGACTGAGCTGAGGAAGCAACTCCAGCTGCCCCCTGCCCCCCCTACTCCACCCCCACCTCCTGGAAGGAAGGGCTCCCTGTTCCTCTGGAGCAAGGAGTTTCTCTAAAAATAAACCCTGCTCCTTAAGCCCTTTCTTCCCCCAGCCTCACGCAGAGAAGACCAGGAGGTGACTCCACGTCTCAGAAGGGCTGCCTCACTCCACCCTCCACTCTTGCCATCCAGGGCCCAACACAGCCACAAAGTCCCAGGAGCTGCTCAGAGGCAGGCAGGGGGTGACCATGATCGTCACCATTTGGGGGCCGGAAGTAGAGGCAAGAAGAGGGACCCTCAGGTCATGGGAACAGCAAATGCCAAGTGCAGAGGGGAGAATGCAGAGCAAGTGCGGGGCCAGCACCAGGGCATAAACTCATGTGGGCGAGGACGTCACGGCTCTGGGACAGGACCCGGCCCATACTAGGTACTCAGTAAACATTTGCCGGGTAAATGAGCGAGGCTGAGGAACTCTAAGCAAGGACCTGCAGGTAAGATGCCGGTAAAAGCCACCCTCTCTAACACCATGGACTTGGGCATGTGGTTGTCAGGAAGGACACGAACCCCCTCCCTGTAGAAGAGGAAACAGGAAGCCAAGGCTCCGCTGGGGCAGGGCCCCTCCAACCGGCGGGAGCTGATGTCAGAGCTGAGGCCCGGCCGGCCACGTGGGCAGAGGAGGGCTCACCAGGCCCCCGGCCAGCAGGACAGCGCGGGACCAGGGCGGGGGAGAGGCTGAGAGTCAGGGCCGGTGTTCCCATGCCAGCCCTCCCCCACACCAGCTGAGATACCTTGGAGAGAGAATTAACACCAAACAACAAAACAAAGACGACAACATAGCACTCTCCCTTCTTAGCACTTGGAGGCCTTTTCATGGCAACTGAAAAGAATGAGCAATTAAAGGAGACAGCCCACGGTGCTGACCCTGGAAACACAGCGGAGTGGGGGTCCCCGGCTGAGGCCTTGTCTGCTGGGCCCCATTTCCCAGGGAGAAGAGGAGGTCCAGAGGAGGGACGGGACTCACCTGGAGCCAGGCCGCAAGGAAGGGCTGAACCCAGCCCCCAGCCCATGGGGAAGGGAGTCTAATTGTATTTGGAAAACCGTGCCATGTGCTTCAGGGTGTAGACCTGGGGTCCAAACCCAAGCCCATCACTGAGTAGCTGTGTGACACAGAACCAGACGCTTGAGGCCATCTCTGAGCCTCAGCTTCCTCAGGGATTGTAAAGGCTTCTGCGCAGGTTATTGTGTGCTCAGTAGAGCCAGTGTGCTTACGGCCCACAGCCTGGCTGACACAGCAGAACCTGCGGGCCCTCGTGCTCCCTCCCCGCCCACGTCAGTTTCCCTGGATGGAGAATCCACCCTCCAGGCCCCAAAGTTCAAACTAGCCAACTGGCATATGAGGAAAAGGGAGCGTCGGGATTTAGGGAAGGGCAATGTCACTTCCGTTGTTCTGCCCCTCAAAGGCCTTGAAGTGACAGAAAGTGGACAGGGAGAGACCTGTGCCTGAGACTCAGGACACTCCACGGAAGGGAGCAGACAAGAAGCCTGGTGCGAGGCCTTCTGCTCCCAAATCAGGGCAGAAGGAGAGAGACAGCTGAGCTCTGGGAGATTCATCACTCGTCCTGGCTCCAAAGAGGACCCCAGCGCACCACGTCCCCCCACCTGGCTTCTCGTCCAGGGAGATGATTATCTGAAAAACACACACAGTCGTTTCTGTGTTGCCAACCACGGCTTGCGAGAAACAGGGCGAGGCAGTACCCAGGCTGGGGAGCCCCGAAGCTCCTGTTCTGTCCCATTGACTGGGGTGGGGAGGGCCCAGCTGAGCCAGGGGAGCCAAGAGAACAGAGGCACCCCAGGGCGCCCTATACAGAGGGGAGAAACACGGGCCACCCAGGCGGTCTCATCGCAGCTGCAGTCCAAAGCTACAGAACAGCCCTTCCTACTTGGTGAAAAGGAGCCAATGTTTGCAAGAAGCAGGATCGATGAATACGATCTGCCCCATGGAAATCAGATGGTCAGATGTTTAAGTCGGAAGGAAATGGTAACAGAGCCCCTGGGTCCCCGCAGCTCCAAAGCCAGCAAGCGGGCCCTACCTGAGGGTCTGTGTGAGACGGCACTGCAATGTCCTGCTCCCGAGACCCACCGAAGGGAGTTGGGGAGCAGGACACACGTGCCACCATCCTGCAGGGAGAAGCCCAGCAGGGGAGGGGGTGAGACACCTGGCTGCTCCGATCACTCAGTGCCAGTGCAGCTGGGAAATCAACAAAGCCAGGCCTCATCCTGAGCTATGCCAGGGACGAGAAACCCAAATGTGCCCCCGAGGACAGGCCAGGGGACCCCTGGCTGAAGGAGTCTTCATTTGACAAAGGGACCCAGTCCAGAATGCACTCCTGGAAGCTGACACACCCAACACTGCCCAGCGCTCCCTCTGCTTAGGAAGTCTGCTCGAGGAACCAGAACCCACATCCCCAGCACACGCTGGAAACTTTCTTATCCCAGAAGCCCAGCTTGGAGCTCTGGGCCTCAAACCTGAGGCTTTTCACCCATCAACCTTTGGGACTTGGAGACCTCAGGCTGCAAAGGGGAGGCAAGTAGAAGACCGGGGTCTGGGGTGGGGAGGGAGGCACAGCCCAGAGTTCTCAGTCAGCAGCCGCCAGCATCCTGGTGCCTGGAGCAGGGCCACAGCCAGCATCTTGGAGTGATGCGCATGACCCTCACTTTCCCACCAAGCCCCTGAACGTGGAGTACGTGGCTGGAGGCCCACCTCTGCCAGATATCCAGAGGCC